CTCCTTGGTGTGAAATGCAAGACTTTGAAATACAAATATTCTTTTCAGAAGAAAAACCTGATTAGTGGCAATAGTCAAGACAAAGCTTGCTTTTGGAAGAAGCAAAAATATCGGAGATGAGACATTAGGTAGAGACATAAATAATACATTCGCTGCTTAGGAAATTAAGTTTTCAGCCAAGTGTGCCAGATAATAACACATTTATCAATCGAGAGCTAATTAATGCTTCTCCCCCAGGGAAGCCTGAATCTTCTAGCAGCATTCTATGTGTTTTAAATCTGACTCCCCACTTTCTGGTTTTTGGGGGGGTTTTTTTTGGGGGGGGGGGTTTCAGGGGTGGGAGGTTGGTTGCCTTTTCCCTACTCTCTATAAAAACAGCTATTGTCAGCATGTCTGGAATTCCCATTCAGAGAGAAGGAGAACAGCGGTAGAGTCAGCTGGAAATTTTGAGCACCAATTTTTTCACTAAAAGCTTCTCAGGGCAAACAAATGCCCTGCCACTGCTTCCCCCCTTTAATCTTTACCTGGGTACACATACCAGAAGGAGAAGCTTTACGAAAATTAGCTAGAGACCATATATTTTTTTATTATTTGAGTCTCTTTTTCTATCACCTAATATAAGAAAAGCAAACCACAGTGGGCACACAAATAAATATTTGCTTTCAGCACCATCATACCAATAGTCCAGTCCTGAAAAGTGAATTTTCCATAGGGAAGGACAGTATCTGACATCGCTCACACCCACACCCATGTTCATATATGTAGATCTAGTTTCAATTCACTGATCCAGTGTTTTTTCTAAAAACTTTCCCCAAATTTACTAGCTTCTCAATAACAGTTTTTAATTGAAAAAAAAAGCCTCCCAATCTTCAGCTGCAGTATGATCTTATAAATAATATTTAACTAAATTATACCCTGTGTGTACCTGACAAGCATAAAAGGGTTTTTTGCCAGTGACCTGAAATGTTTCCTGAAATTTTTATGGCTTGCTGGTGAACATTTAACATTTCAAAATATATTAAAAAGGAAATTCTAAGAGCCTTAATTATATGATTACCTTGCCTGCACAGGAAATCATTTCTTTCTAAATATTGGGCTTTATTTGTTCTGATTTCTGAATTCATAGCATTTGATTTTTTTCTCTGACCCGGACAATTAAACCGCTCTAGAAGAAAATGGCAAGAACTTGACCGCATTGTGCAATGTTCTAATCAAACACAAGAGGGCAGGCTTTGCTTTATTGTTGGCCCAGCTCAGCTATGCTGCTCATCAGGAAGGTCACTGTGCTAATTACCTATTCAGAAAAGCTCAATAACATACACAGTGAATGAGTAATCAGAGTGCGTACTCTGGCAGCACATCTCTGGTATTTTAATAAAGAAGGACAAGTTTAAGCCTTTCTATACGAGGCGTTATTTACAACACAGAGAATAATTATGTTTGAGAGACGCTGGGATAGTTTTAGCTTTCACTTACAAACCTCAAAAGGAGCATACACAGCATGGCTAGAAGAAGAAAGGACCAAATTCAGTCAAATTATATCCAAGAAATCTGACTTGAGTCAATGTGGCAAATAACACAAGTGGGTTGAGGGTTTCTACCAAACAGAGACAGTCTTGGTGAAAATATATAGAGCACACAGGCCCTTGAATAGGAACCTCGTGTTTTGTGTTTGTTGTATTTTTAGAAAACTTTGACTTATCCAATTGCTCACAATTTTCTTGTGCGTTGTTTTCAAGATTCCATTAAACTACCCGCCAAAGCATAATTAAATACATAAAGGTTATTTTCAGCTTGAACAGTGATTATAGCTAAAGTCAAAGTATCATGTCATTTTTGGAGAATTTCTTTAACAAAAACTCTTGGGCACACCAGGTACTGGTTTTGCCCATGAACTCTTTCCACCGAAACAGGTTTTCAAGACGTCAGATAGTAGGGGGCCCTAAAATGACACTGTGAGGCCTTAACTTTCTATCCTGTCCCTACAAGTGGTAGAATTAAGGCCTTCAAATGCTAGGAAGTGGATACGCCCAGGAAGAAAATATGTCTGTATTAGGTTGTATGGTGTAAAATTCCACCTAGCATTGGTCCAACCCAAAATCTGAAAGATACACTGCTATTTCATGGTTCGAGTTCTACTTTCAGGTTTATTTATTCATAAAAAAAATTTTATAGAATATTCAAGATAAGCAAAGCACTGTAGAAATAGGAAGAGTTCAACCTTGAGTTTTGTCACTGTGTTGAAAGTAATTTTCTCCCATTGGGAGGTGAATTGGTTCTTTTGAATGCCTGTGTCAACTAACCACCAATACTCTGATACTTAAAGTGCTTTGATACAACAGCATTGGAGCTGTACAGAGAGATGTACAGCCTGGCCTCTAGAAGCTTCAAGTCTAGATGTAGAAGCAAACATGACATAACCAGTACCTCGTTGGTTCTAACTTCCTTCTTCTGGGATCTCTGACAAGTCGACTGCCCTGGAAGGTTTTCCAGGACTATCAGAGTTAACTGCTGTAGGATGCCTCCTCCTTGGTCAGTGACTTGAAGGAGCCACTTTACCACACTCCCACCCCAAGTTCGGTCTTTAGATTGTGGGGACCTCAATAGCTATTCTTCACCTGGGAAAAGGCTGGTGTCTCCTTTACCTACCTGTATAATAGAGAGTCAGGAAGTAGCAATTGCTTAGAAACTCAAAAGAAAGTAGAAACATCAGTTTAAGAACTTATTTTCAAAAGAGAAGTAGCTATTATGTATTTTATATTTATTTTCAAAAGTGAAGTTGTTATAATGTTTTATATATACTTATAGACTTACATATAAAAAGATGGGTATTGATGGTCACAAATTAAAAAACAATAGCTCTCAATAGATGAACAATAATCTGCAAAACATTAGTTTTTATTTTCCTCTTTAATAAGTTTTCTACTTCTTGTTAATGTGAGATTAAAATTATTCATTAGGATTATCATAATTAACAATGTTAAATCCTAAGCAAGACACAAATTAATGTCAAAGAATTTTAGAATTTGAAAAGAATTTAATTCACAAAGGAATGATGTTATTGGATTTCGTTTCACTTCTGAAGGTTAGTTTTATAAAAACATTTCTTTTGAAATAATAATTCATATACATATAATTTTAGTATACTGAAGATATAAACATATAAAGTTATCTATTTGCTTTCTTCAAAGTTGAATTTTTTTTCCCTAACATTGAGAAGGATAACCTTACAATGCTCGGTGATATTTTCAGAGTTTATTTGCGTAATATTCAATGTAAGTGAATACCAACATTTTTATTCTATGAGTTTGTTCTACCTTTAAATTTGTTAAAAAGCATTCATAATCGATTTATTGTAATGCTAGAAAATGTTATAAAATTTTATTCCTCTTATGTGAGCTATAAAATTAGGAAATGATTTCTCTTAGGAAGACATTATTAAAAACAATATTTATAAAAAGTTTCAAGCACTATAGATAAAAGTAACTAAGTATAAATGACAATTCTTTACTTCTACCTCAGACAGATCTTGCTTTAAACAAATTTTATGAGAATATGATGTATGAAAATTTGATATACCTGAAAGATAAGCTAGAGGTGGTTATTTGCTTTTATAGAATTATTCATAATAGTTCATCTATAAAAAGTAATTTCCCCTGCTACTTTTAATGTATAAGTGATTTACATATAACTTTTCAGGAACATACCTACCATACACAATTATATATTCATTTTAATATATTTCTCACTTGATTTAAAAATTGGATGTAAAAATATATTCTCCAACAACCCTGAATGGAGAACATAAGCTTTCCAGGGTGGAGCATGTTAATGAAACACTGTTGAATTTTCCATGAATATCGTTAAAGGCAGGAATTGAGATCTGCACCTGGGGCTGTGGCTAAAAAAAGTCCAAGCAGGGCTTCACCCCATGAAGGATTCTGAGCTCTCTTGACTCTCATCTGCTGAGCCCACTCGCAAATATACCTGTAGTTTTATGAGACTCACTCAGTTCATATTGGGCTTTGTCCATTTCTCTGGCTTTTGCAGCTTTGTTCCAGGGGGAAATATTGGGTATTTGTGAATCTTGCACACTCTAAGTGCCCCATATATCGAAGGCAGCTCCGGGGTCCTCTTAACACCCTTTCTTTACACACTTCTATTCCAAAGAGAGGAACTGAAATGAGCAGACAGATGGGCCACCTTCTAGGACTTTGGCCTCATTCCTGATGCACAGGTACCAGATATGAGCTGATTAAATTTGCCTTGAAATCTCAATAACCATTAACATCTCAGAAGTGGGGGTCATCTTGGTAAGTCTAAACATCTTTTTAAAGATTGCCTCATTCTTATCTCTCATAATCTGATGATTACTTCATGGAAAATAACCATTTAATTCTGTATTATTATATTTTGTATGGATGGTTTGCTTTTAAAGGATAAGGCTTAATTGACTGGCATTCATAAGGAACTCTCAGTACAGTGCACCATTAATGAATCTAAAGTCAACTCTTACAAATATGCCAAATGCATTTTATGTGAAAAAAATTTTCATCTGAGGATACCTAGTAAAGGAATTGGTTCAGGATCAGCCAAATGAGACCTCAGAGCAATGGAACTCTAATCAAATTATCTCATGTTCAGGATTATCGCCCCACTAGCCTTCTCCAGTCAAAGTTTAATTTACAAAAAAGAACCAAATTGATCATTCATTCTCTATCTTACTTGGAAAATAAGGCTGATTTTCATTCTCAAGGCCATTTTAAAGGCTGGAGAGGAAAATAAACCCCGTGAAGACAATCAGAAAGGCACTAAAAGCATAGATATTTATAGCTAAAAGGGATCTTGGAGACTCATGTAGTACCTGCCATCCCCTAACCCCACCCCATTATGAATGAAGACACTTGGGCTGAGAGAGGTTGAACCATAATCTTGTCCAAGTCTCAAATTACACTGACTTGCACATTACAATAAATTCACTCTATCAGTTTTTGTTGGTACTCTCAAAACATGAGGAGGCTTAATCAATATGGGGAATTACTATGGGAGATCACAAATCATCAGCTCTACTTTTGTATGATGGCAGAGATAGTCTCAACCACTTTAGCCTGAGTTTGTTACGCAAAAAAGCAAGCCAGAAACTACAGCTAAGTGTCTTCTGTGTTTGGAATCATCACCACAAGAGGAGGACCTGTGCCAAAGATCTTCAACTAAAGGAAAAACAGCGAGGATTAGTTTGTTCATTGTCAGAGTCCCGACGATAGGTTGGCCAGCCTCTTCTCCAGGGTAAGGCGTGAGCACCCTAGGCTTCTTCTGTGTACCTCTTATTGCTTAAATTTGTCTCCATTAGGGGTGTATATCCCTTTCGAAGTCTTCTATACTGAAGGAAAGCCAGCAGCATAAAAAGACCAACCAAAACCACCAGCATTCCCACAACCACTGAGAGGGTTGTGGTCCAACTTGGAGTGTCTTCAACTGAAACTAAAGCAAAAAATAAAAAGGTTACAACTGGGATTTTCATCAGCTGAATATCCTTCAAGAAAAAATGAAACAACCAATTTGCATTTTACATGCATTTTTGTTGAGAAAGCTAAAACTACGGGGAATACAATTTACCTTCTCCTTCCTCACCAACTACTTACCATATCCACAGTTGTTTTTCTTGAGAATGTGGGTAATCGAATTCCATTATTCAAATATAGCTTGTTGTATTTCAATTTTTTCTTACAATAAATACTTATGCAGAATAAACCCCCCAAGGAAGTATATAACTACTTTTGTGAGTTAGAAATTTGTTTGGAAAAGTATGTTCTAAAATGGTATCTGGAGAACTGCAAAATATATAACCTTCAGGTAGAAAAATTCTGCTATTATCTCTCCCTTTTTTATAGGATGATAAATGTGTAAGACAGATCAGATTGGCTATTATAACAGGAGACATTCAATAGCAGGAGCAAATGAAACTTGTATCCATTTAGATAGTTATAAATAAAATCTGAATCTTCCATATGATAAACCAATCCTCTACTCAAATTCCACAAAATTAATATATTTCATTTTTAGTATATGAATGCCTATTTGTCATTTCTTTAAAAATGATCTTACTTTGGCCAGCTGTTCTTCCCCCCACCCCAGTCGTTGTTCTCAGTCTAGGCTGCAGGCCACTCATAGCAGCCCAGCTCCAGGTCAAACCAGCCCAGCTCTAGGTCAAGCCAGCTCAGCTCCAGGTCGAACCAGCCCAGCTCAAGGTCGAGCCATTGTTCACAATCTTAGCTGTAGAGGGTGCAGCTTACTGACACAGCTCAATGGCTCATGCGGGAATCAAACCGGCAGCCCTGTTGTTCTGAACTTGTGCCCCTGCCCAGCTGTTCTTAAATTCAATTTCTCTGAACTGAGCTCTATACCCTACACTTATCGAAATGTAAGCTTCTTCTTCTAGTTCTTTTCCTCCAGTTCCACAGAGGGCTCTGACCCTTACTGATTGGATTCCTCCAAGAGGATTTAAATTTGTGTCTTCCTGCTACAATCCAGCAGCATCTGTTTCCAGTCTCAGCTTCTTAAAACATAGAGTTTTATTCTGCTATCATTTTGTTCAGGAATCAGAAATTACTACCTATTGTTATTGTCCAAACTCATCTGCCTAGCTTTTTGTTTTAATTATTTTTTTTAAATTGTGGTATAATGCATATAACATATATTTTACCATCATAACCATTTTTAAGTGTACAGTTCTGTGACATGAAGTACAATCACATTGTTGTGCAATAACCACCACTCTCCATCCACAGAACTTTTTTCATTTTGCAAAACTGAAATGGTAACTCACCATTCTCCTAGCTCCCTAAATCCTGGCTACCACCATTCTACTTTCTGCCTCTATGAATCTGACTACTCTAGGTAACTCACAGATGTGGCATCATACAGTTTTTGTCCACTTGTGACTGGTTTATTTAACCTAGCATGATGTCTTCAAGATACATCTATGTTGTATCATGTGACAAGTTTTCTTTCCTTTTTAAGGCTGAATAATACTCCATTGTATGGATATACCACATTTTGTTTACTTTTTCATCCATCAGTGGACACCTGAGTAGCTTCTACCTTTTATCTATTGTGAATAATGCTGCTATGAACAGAGGCGTACAAATATCTGTTTGAGTACTTGCTTTCAATTCACTGGGGTATATATATGCCCAGAAGTGGAATTGCTAGATCGTATGATAAATCTATGTTTAAGTTTTTGAGGAACTGCCATACTGTTTTCCACAGAAGCTATACCATTTTACATTCTGACAGCAGTGTACAAGGGTTCCAATCCTCGTCAATACTTGTTATTTTCTGCTATTTTTGGTAGTAGCCATCCTAAAGGGCATAAAGTGGTATCTCATTGTGGTTTCTGTTTAGCTGTTAAGGCCCTTGGTAATCAGGCTCGTCTCATAGATCCAATTTTTTTTTTAA